CAATGTTATTGTCATAGATACTTATAATCTAATTCATGTGTTTATATATCAATTATTATATCAAACCATACTTAATGTATTGGTTCACAGTACTCATGTTTGTACCCCTCTCAAAGAGCAGGCACTTTAGATCAGATACACAATGAATCGCTTGAAACGCCACCGTGTGTAGTAATCACGTGTAGACGTCATGGATTTATAGCAATTAGTCAAATACCGTGTGATGTTTTTTCGACAGTAAATACTATACAGCAGTGATATATCCTTCTTACTGATTTTTCAATCATCTAGTATATTTTTTCAAATATGAAATAATGTAATCTGATGTGTTTCCATTGGACAAACAAGTACTGAGTACACGTCACTAACAATGATCAGTGGCCATGTTACGCATGTTATACGGCTAAGTAGTTTTGGTGAATAACTAAACAATATTCGCAATTGTAAATCAGCCTAAAATATTAAATACCGTTTTGAAATTCGCATTTTGTTTCAGGATACAGAAAGACCGTGAAAAGGGAAATAAGATACTGAGAACAATATATCAAAGTGCATGAAGAATGATTACTTTTAAGAAAAACGTACATTATATTATTGTCTTCGTATACTAGTGGTCAATGGTTCATTGATTTGTATTATATGAAATGTGAACAGTAGTTGACAAATTAGAGCGATTATTGAATTTGATGTTACGGTATTCTCAGCTATAATTTGGAATATATGCTGCTTCTGGCGAATAACAGTTTTTAACATGAAATATAGCTATAGTTTCCAAACAGAATTACATCATGTGTGTGGTATTTAAAAACAAACAAATATAACCTAACTCGTTTTAGTTTTTAGCAAATTGTCTACTTAAGGGAGTTCGCGCATAATCCGAAGTTTGACACTACTTAGCATATAAAATGTGGCTGACGCAGAATCATTCACCCTGTATATAATAAAATAATTCCATCACATTGAAAACATAGTGTATGATATGTTAATGTATTCAACATTTGTATCAGAAATATGCACAATGTTAATGATAGTATATCGCGTAAGTATGATGGGAACCATAGTACGCCACAAGAAGCCGGGAAAACGTCACTCCAAAACTTCCTTACGTTGGCCGGTGATCATGTATATATGACTACGCATTTTGGCTCAACCATTTATTTGTTCAGAGTTTTACTTATGCATTTTTGTTTGTCGTGTAATGTTTTCAATTATTGTAGATATTGTACTTTGGTTTTCTGGTCATCTTTTAATAATTGTATATTTACTCAGCACATTATGTATATTGTCGTTTGATGAATAAAATCTAATTGTATTGACTGACTGACTGATTGATTGAATGGCTGAGTAGTCGACTAACTGACGCACCCGCTGCTGACAAGGCCATTCTTTGACGAAATATATATCGGTGAGCAGAATGTCGTTCACAACTTCAATGTCATTTTTTTATTCAATACTCTATAGCAAATTTACATGGAGTGGGAGGTTATTAGAGTTAAACACATCCGCCAAAAACAAAAGCATTGAATATAACCTTTTATTCCAATGTAAATGAATACCTTAGACAATTGGTATCAATGCGGTTAAGTAGTTTCTGCATGTATTCGACGTTTGTTTTGTTGGTTTTTATTTAAGTTAACTTTGGTGTTCCATGGCATTTTGCTCACACGTATGCTTAGTTACTTGTTTCGTCCCAGGCTGTTCGCATTAAAATTCTATTGATGTATCCATATTCGTGAATAAATTAAGAAATTATCAGCTTCAACAACAGTATTTCATGACAAAATTAGAACAGAAAACTAGTTTGTTTAAATCAATCATTTCAATTATCTTTTGGTTTAAAAACAACACAAGAACAAATTTACTGTATAATAATCACAGGCAATTGGTATAAAAACACGCAACACCAAATTCGAAGTCGCGCGCTCGTCGTAGCGCCTCGCTATTGTGGGCCTTAAACAATATGGCTGTCTTAGTTCGACTTGGACAAGTAGTTGTTATTTAATGTTATTTCTATAAAAAAAGTTATATGTGCTAGTTACACATGCTACTTGTATTGACATCCTAACTCCAGTAAGACCGTTATAAAATAACCAAGCACTAAGTGACAAACAAAAACCAACACACATCTGCTAGGGGCTTTATAAATCTGTCACAAACATACATCATCTGTGACCGGATTCGGTTTGCCATGACCATGCGTTATGTACAAAACCAATCAAATTAAAACAAATGTCCCCAATTATCGGAACCTAGTGTTCATTGGTATTAAATAATTAAATAATTAAATAAATAATTAAATAAATAAATAAAAAATTAAATAAACGAACAAACAAATAAATAATTACATAAATAGAAAAAATAAAAAAATATAATTAATAAATAATTAAATAAATAAATAAAATTAATTAATTAACAAATAAATAAATAAATAGAATTAATTAATTAATAAATAAATGTTAGTTTAGTGCATTATAGAGGACTTATATCCGTCCTAGCAACTAAAACCTATTCTTAGTAGACAAGGTACTTGTAACTAATATGTGTGGGTGTTACTAATTAATGACTAACTTTATTAACCAGGGCAAGGTGTTTCGAAAACGTAACGCATAACATGGACAAGCTATACATGGGTGTCAGATAGTATATGACTTTTGAGCATGGTACGCACCTAATAACATATTAATCTTGTATTAATGTGTTGTAATCTTACTTTAATTTGACGATTAAATTAAACGGGAAAAAATGGCGTCGAATCATATGATCAGCAAAATTCTTATTTTGAAGCACAAGACACACATCCGTATGGCCATAAACTCATATATACAAATATTGTCGTAAAATATTGATTATCCCAAACTCAGACCGATTGGGAGTTTTAGACATTGAGTAGTTAAATTAGAACACTATATGCTGTAGTTTGGGTTGTATAGTGTAACAGTTTCGTCTAGAATGTCACGTTATTATTTACTTATCATGAATATTGCGTCATGTTTAAAACTGTATGCCGAAATTCCTGGTAGGAATTACACATATTGTCACGTGATACGAATTAAGTTGATACTATATCATTTGTCAGTGTGACAGGTAGCTTTGAAAACGTGTACCAGCTTTTTTAGTTTGGGCGGGGCCTTTTCGCTACACGTCTGCTCTAACAGTAATACGCACTATTTTCAAAGGGCGTACGCCATCGCCACAACTCCCCCACACGTGAATTTAATATTCTTGAATATACGTCTGTTCCCATACCGACCTGCAGAATAATTACACCCCATTGTAAATATCGTGGTTGTTGTTGAAGGTGCGTCTTATACATGTTACAATATTAGTAGTACTAAAACAGCATCATAAATTTATATAGGTACTGATTTTGTTCGGTAATTTTGTTTTGTTTAGCTGGTAATATTATATTCCAGGATTTCTAAACATGGTCTGTGACTCTTGTTAGTATTGGGTGTGCGTCAGTGACCGCCCAATCCAGTATATATGCATATGCAATTCTAATGTTAATTACTGACACTATGTCTAGTTCGCTAGGTCAACTACCATTCCCAATGTTTAAAAACGGTATGAAATTTTAACTCAAAGATTTGAAGTCATTGAGCCACACACGCGGTGCAGGAATAAACGAGAGTGATAGGGAAGGCAATATGGCGCCGCATCATTACCTCGGTCACGTGGTTCGTGACGTGAAGGAAAATCTTGAGGTCATGGAGCTTCCCCCTAGATTTCTTTCTCCGTCATTGGCTGAATCGCAGATTAATGCCTACAGTTCAAAATAGTCATTTTGACTGACCGGAGTCTATGGTGGGTAATTGAACATAGTGAATATTCCAATAGTTCATTAGTCCATTGCATTAAAAATCTATATCAATATATGAACAAATTTGACTCAAAACACACTGAATAAATATACACATTTTTAATCACAATTTAGTTCATATAGAATACATAGACTGCAGTCTGAAAAATTTGAATGTGAAATCTATTTTGTTTGATGAACTTTTAAATTGGTAAAATTATGGAATAATATTAAAAACATTTAAAATGATGATTAAAAAAAGTATAATATATGACAATTTTCAGAGTAAATGTATTATTGAAAATCTGAATAAAATACATTTGCATCATTGAACACACATATATGCATTTTGAATAGTAGGATATACATATTATACAGAAATTGAAATCTATTGTGTTGTTGCTAGAATTAATTGAACCTCTCAAACCAACAATACTTTCTTTGACAATTCATTTTTTATATTTTTAAAAAATCTGCTTTGCTGAATAAATATGTGAATCTACGACCTTAATAAAAAATGTTAGTAATATAAAAAAAAAATACTCAGGATTTTGAGGTAATAGTACTAGATCGATGTACATGTAGTTGTTTAAAATAAAGTAATTATATGACTTTTTAAATTCAACAAAACAAGTTACTGTATAAAAGTACTAGATATACCCTATTTTATGTATTAGTAGAACCAAATATGATTACGTAAATGACAGAAGAGTGCCATAGTCATAAAAAACATTGTAAATATATATATATATATATATATATATGCAGCAAAGTAATAATTGGTATTATTCATATTGACAAGACAACCTGTGAGGCAAAAATTACTGCACAATCATGCATTACAGAGTAAATTTAAAACACATTTAATGATATTCTTAAACTGGATTTTGAAAAGTTATATTTTCTAAAATATTTTGCATAACATCTTCTAAAATACTCTTGTATAACTTTATAACGCAAGGTAAATCTGGATATATATTTAAAAACATGAACACATGTAAATGCTCAAAATGGGTCAATAATTACAAGAAAATTTATTCAACAGAGGGAATTTCCCCAATTATTGACATGGTAATGTACTTCGAAGTTAAACATTTTGCCGAATACAAACAAGATAATTAAAAATGATCACAAATTGTTTAGTAATTCATCACTATGTTACCATGCCTTTTAGATTTAAGCACAATATGGCATTTAGTACTCAAATAAACATGCAGAGTCTGACAGTTTTACATTCTAACTTCTCGGCCAAGTTCTGAATACGACACAATTTGACACGTTCGGCATCACCAGCGTTATAGACGCGATATAAATGGAACTGTGTCTGTGTCTTCTGTGCAAACGCCAACTCTTGGGATGACATTTCAAAGTATTGCTTCTTCTCGGATTTTGTACTCTTCACTTCAATATATATAGTATATTCTTTAGAACGACATTCTGTGTCGTCATCTTCAGTTTCTAAATTCTCTTGGATATTAATTTCAATATCGTAGGGTTCACCAGTTTCTGCTTCTTGATTAACCCATCGGACTGTTACCTGGCAATTCTCGGAGTCCATTTTTTCTTTTTCATGCAGCAAGAAATTATAAACCAGTTGTTCTCCCCATCGTCCAATTTCATCTTGATCTCTGCAAGCATCAATTGTTACATTTTCTGGGAACTGTTTACTCAAAATATCCTTACCACCAAGATCCTCAAAGGCTTCATCTAAGTCTTGACTTGTTTTCCATAATGGTTGAGAGAAGATAAAATTTCTATGATGCCCACCAACACTGTATGTACCAGATGCGTGTTTTCTCTTTTCTGTTTGAGCTTCATCTTCATGATCCACATCCCTAGATTTCTGAGTTTCTACGTTGCTAGGTGACCGTCTTGGTCTGTCTTCATCATCTCTTCTCTCAGAATGTTCTTCATTGTTTGGTGCCAAATCTTGTCTGGTAGCAGAAGTTCGTGTCACAGTTGATGGTGTGTCATCTTCACCAGTCTGTACCATATTTGTATTACCTTTGACATTGTTACCATCCTGTCTTGATTTGCTCCCTGATGTCTGTTCATTGGTATCTATAAAATAAACAGATATATAAAAATGATGCAAAACAGAAATCCTAGCCATTTGTATTGTAAATGTTATTTGAATTACAGTGGGCATCTAAACTGATTAGGTAAACTGCTATCAATCTCCTTCACAACACTACAATATTCCTAGAAACGGTGTCAGCAGTGTCTGTTCTAAACCATTGGAAAGTAACAATACTCAATTCATTTGCATATCAAGAGTTTCACCATATTTGATGGGGTGCTGGAATTTAAAATGAAATAGTATGTTTATGATCAAGTAATCATTCAATGTGTTCAAATGTAGAAAACTTTTTCATTTAACACATTGTTATGCTCAAAATCTTCATTGTAAAACAAAGTCTAAAACTTTTGCCTTGGCCTTTGACTTTATATCACAACAACTCTGGAAGGTGATCCTCACTTCACACACTAAGTGGTTTGGAACAGAAGATAATACTGATAATAAGGTTACTTAGTGGTACACGTGTGGTCACATCAACATCAACTACTTGTAGATATTCTCGCTGTTAAAAATCATGTCAATATTTATCTATCATACTGTACCTTGTATATTCTCCATGTCTGCTTTCTGTCTTGGTTCTCTTGTACCAACTATTCCACTATTTACACCAGGGGATTCTGCTTGAGATGGTGTAGCATTCAATGGTGCTGGTGGTGGCCACATCTTTAGACTTGCTTCTATTGCCTCAGATTTAGCTCCTGCAACAACTCCTCCTAAACCCCAGGCAAATATAATATAATGACATCACTACCCACATAATTTTCCCATAATTTATCCAAAATTTTGATCAAGACTTGTAGTTGATAGAACAAGCAGCCGCTCGGCTGAGATAGCTCCGCTGTTAGCAATGCACATTTCAATTAAAGAACAGAAGATATCATTAGAAAATGAACAATATGTATAGTATCAAAACAATCAGACTTGCGGTTTTCAACAAGAAGTGAAAAATATCACTTTTTACCAAAAATTACAAAAATATTCATCAAAATTAGAGAATTGAAGATATCATCATGAAATGAACAAATCTTAGTTAGAACCACACGTAGTACCTATATATGTTATATCAAAGCAATTGGACTTGCGGTTTTCAACAAGAAGTTGAAAATATCACTTTTTACCAAAAATGACAAAAATATTCACCAAAACTAGAGAATTAAAGATATCATTACAAAATGAATAAATCTGAGAGAGGTCCACATGTAGTACCTATATATGTAATATCAAAGCAATTGGACTTGCGGTTTTTAACAAGAAGTCAAAAATATCACTTTTTACCAAAAATGACAAAAATATTCACCAAAATTAGAGAACTGAAGATATCATCATGAAATGAACAAATCTAAGAGAGGTCTACCCAAGGTACATATATACCAAGTATCAAAGCATTCAGGCTTGTAGTTTTCAAGAAGAAGTCGAAAAAGTAAAACATTGACACAGACGACGACGGACAATCACTCATATGATAAGCTCCGCTCGACAAAGTCGACAGCAGAGCTAAAAATATGTTCACTTGGTCCTATTAATATGCAAATTAGGTAATTAATATGCATGAATTTAAACCGAAAAAAATCAGGGTTGGGCATTATTTCAGAGTATCACCAAGTTTCATTAAAATCTGATAATTATTTCTTGGGATATCAGTTGAATAGACACACAGACGCACTGACTGCTTCACACACAGAAGTCAATAAAAGGCTTGGTGATCACAAGTTCAATTTAAATTTGATTTACTGAAATATCAGAAATTGGTCAATGAAAAAAAGAGATATCAATATGCATGGTTTTCAATATTAAACTAATCTCATATGTGGATTACCCCAGTGCATGTATATACCAAGTTTCAATAAAATGTGATGATTATTCATATTATGCAAATCATATGCATGAATTTCAACCAAAAATTAATCAGGTCTGTGCATTGTCCTCAGGTACGTAAGTACAACGTTTTATTAGAATGATTAATTTTTAACAAATTAGAGGAAAAGCTGAAAATTATTATGCAGATTAGTTAAATATTATGGTTGTATTTAAACACAAAACTAATTAAGTACTCACATTGTCTTAAAGAAATTATGTACAAAGATTCAGTAAAATAAGATGATTAGTACTTAAGATAATGATGGATTAGATAAAAACTGACTAATTATTATGCAAATTATGTACTCTAAAATACTTTATTTTAGCTGGAATTAATTTTTGCTGAAAAGACTTTTTGGGTGTTTTGTATGGAATTTATTTCCACTGATTTTTGACGAGTTGAATGTAAAATATAGGAAAAAGGTATATTTGCTGGATTTTATTTTCACTGAATTATTCCTTCAGCGGAAATAGCTAAAATTAATTCCAAGTGAAAATAAAGTATTCTACAGTAATTAATATAGCCATAAATCACCATAAAACTAATCATAATAACAGAGAGCATCTATTAGATATAACTGCAAGCACTCCCAGGAGTCAAATAAATAGAAAAATACATACATGTACCAACAGGCAAAATGTTACTCTCAAATTTTGCTCAGAATCATTTTATGGCACTCAAAATAATAACAAAGATAGATGCAATTCCTTTTGAATGACTGGACATAATATGAGGTTATTACGAGGATACCTCAAAGTATGCACAAAGACAGTACAGTATCAGACGACGCACAGCGGAGGTCAATGTGTGACGTACTGTCTGAGTGTATACTTTGAAGTGTCCTCGTAATAACCTTATTATTATACATCTTTTCCTTCCAAGATACATCATGGGAATGCCAAAATCCAAAATGTTTAGAACAGAATCAGCGAGCTTCTTTGTGTTATGTTCGGTCAAACCCTGGTGGCAGCCATGTTTGTTTTTATTACCGGTATTAGAGGACGCTTAGGCGCATAATCATTCCATATTTTGAATTTGCAGTAATAAAATATTGCTGCTTCCACTGCCATAACACACAACCCAGCAATGTATAGTCATACACACATGCAATCCTGTGGCCAGTTCATCTTATTTCTCAACAAAACATCAGTCAAAACACTTTTTCATTACCTTTATGAGATCCAAACGCTGGGGCTTTTGGCGGCCATGACTGTAATACCGGTGTTCCATCTTCATTCAATGGTGGTTGCTGAGCAACTACCTTTTCTTCTCCATCTAGGACATCTTCACCATAATCTGCAAGAACCAAAAAATCATAGTTCACAGTAGGAAGCATATTTGTATACATTGATAGATCCTACACCAAATATGTACACCAAATAAAAAGCCACAAATAAACATTGCTCTCATCACTAGTCACAAAACAGTTTTAATTACACAGAATTACATTACTTAAATTTTTATTAAAAGTTACACTATTATTGGCATTATTGTGACAGTTTTGTTTTGGAAAACTTAGTAATTTTTGTTTTGTGTATATGTGTAAAACCACTTATTTTCACTGGCATTTAATTTCACTATTTTGATGTCTTGAGCAATTTCACTGGGTTTTAAGTTTTGGTCATTCTATGTGTTCATGTGGATTCATTTTAAAAATTACAATTTAAAAAAAAACAGTGAATAATTATTGCATTACAATATATAGTTGTGAATATTGTTATCACTATTTTGGTTTTTAAATGTGTTATATAATTATTGATTGAGACACAAATCACCAACTTTTTTCTTTTTTTTGTTTTTTCTTTTGGTGTAACCAAGTTCAAAATATTAATGGACATTCTTGGAACAATTTCCATAGCAATCCATGTCAAAGATTTCCTTCACATATAAATAAATAGTATTTATCAAAAAACCAAATAGTTTCTAACATTCCAAAGTATCCATCTCATATCTTATATACCACATAATTTGGTATTCTTATGTTTTATTATGTAAAACATAAATTAAAACCATGTTGTAAAGACATGGAAACCAGTAATTATGTTTTACAAAACAAAGTGAACTGAATATATTGAAGTTATATTATGAATATTCACTGAATGCTTGAATTTGAATGGACATTTATTAAACACACATATTAATTTCATACCTTGGATTGTTTCCGTTATTATGACTGGCGGTGGTGTGGGAGGGGGTGGTGGCACTGGACATGGTATTTCCCATTTCACATCATCTGGATCTAAATCTGGATCTAAGTCTTGGTTGGCGAGAAACTCATCCTGTGTTTCCATTGTCTGACCTTGGAGAAATGGAATCAGCATACGGAGGAAATTGTGGACATCTTGTTGGCATTTAATATCACCATCACTTAACATCTTGCCGAGTTCCTTTCTAATCTCTTGGTGAGTATAAATATCTCGGGTAAAGTCATCAACAATGTAGAATTCACGTTTATCTTTCAAGCAACAAACTATATTCTCGGAAATGTTCATCGTATCATCGGTCTTTAGGCGATACACAGCTTCTAAGCGGTCAACTTGCCCATACCGAATTGTCTGCAACAACAATGCTGTGTTGCACTCTTGAAGTTTACTATAGACGTTCTCATGCTTAGAAGAGAGAAACAGTTGGATGTATGGCACAACCTCATGACAGAAAGTCTGTAAATCTGGACAGGGTTTCACTAGTGAAGGAATGTATTCTTTTTCAATACATTTACTGAGATGTTGTATTTGACAAATCTCCAAGAAGGTGTTCAGATGATTTTTCTTGTAGGTCAAATCTGAATGAGAGAACATACATACATAGATTAACAGGTTAATAGTACACTAATGAAAATATAATTCGGATTCCCACAGGTATTAGCTTTCAGTTCTGATTTAAGACCTTTTTATTGTTATTTTAAAACCAATTGTTAGGGAATTGATAAAATATATATTACATATATAAACCAAACTCACATAAAAAACAAAATAAAAAGCAAACCAAAAACATGGTTATCATGGTTACCTCTCAAAATATGCACTAAAACTAGTAAGTATATTCATTACAAACTTCTTAGGTAACTTTTATAGCCTGAATTAAACAATACTACACAATACTAGCCTGATATGTGTATTTGTACTCGGGCACAGGATATCATTTATCCAACGCTAATTGGGACAAGTTTACTAACACCAATGTTTGGACTGTAATATATTTCGTACATGCCACACAGATGATGAATATCCAGCTGAACTTTTTTGAGCGACTCCATTCTGGACAAAAACTCTCTCTACAAGCAATAAAAATATTACTATACCGAGTCGTTTATCAAATTTGCATTAAAAGATCGTGATCACAAAATCAGCACAGATGATGATTTGTTATTATTTTCATTTGCTGAAACTTTTGAAAACTTTTGAAAAATCAAAATACTGTCAAAATATCTGTTTTTATAACATTTAAGATTTCTACAGGAACCCTGACACTGTAAAATATATTCATGCATAAGCTATTGTGGAATACATGATTGACCATACTTACGAGTTTTATGCTTACGAGCATTCCGATTTCTAGAATCACCAAGGTCAAGTATATGGATATTTTTCTCTTTGAATAACAACTCCAAATGCGGATCATCTCCAATATACAAAGCATCATCACTAGTCACCCATTTATTGCATTTAGTCGGGAATATCTTCTCTTTACTGATCAAAGACGACAGATGTTTACTGTAAGCAGGCGATATCTGTGGTTGATGTCTTTGTAAAGTTGATTCGTCCAGACACTTCTCACCCAAGACTGCGTATAAGTGAAACACCTCCTGCAGCTGGGTAGAGTTCGGTAACGATGTAATGTCAACGACATGTAACAATAACGCTATGTAGTCTGTCATCACTGGAGTGCAACTGATTCTTAGTGATTCTAAGAAGAAAGATTTAATATCCTCCGGGTAGTGTTGCTGAAGCTGTGGACGTTGTGGCACTTTGATATGCGACGTTACAGCTGATTCAGCGTACTTCATAAATAAACCAGTCGGATCAGACCAATAGACATTTGACTTGTGATGGAACTTTCCATTCACTGATATATCGTATTTTACATCAGGAGTGTCAGGTATGAATACTACTGGGAACTTTTCAAATAGTTGTGTTAATTGTGACGGGTTAGCTTGTTGTTGTAAATACCCATAGACACGCATGATGTGTTTGAGTGATGTCTGGAAGGGTTTACCAGTCTTAGTGTCTCCGTCATCTCCACTGCACCACTGCTGTAAGTGACTTATGATGACATCAGCGTTGATGTGTCCAATTGTCTTTACTTGTAAATGCTGAATTAGTTCATTAGTTTCTTTGATGTCCGTCATCGCATAGTAGACATGGTCAGCTAACAACGCATACAGTGATTCACTGAATAGATGCGTTTCTTTACCAGATCGGTAAACTGGAGCGTCTTGTCGACTGCCCTGACTATAACGAACGCATGGCAACCACGGTTGCAACTGTAAATGGATGCTAAATGATGATGGTGCAGACTTCAATATGTTGCCATGGTGATCGCAAACACTGCCATTTAAATATTTAGAGTATGTGCTTTGCCACTCTTCTTCTAGAAGTCTGAGGAGGATTCGGCTCTGATGGAGACGTTGTTCAGTGGTGATGTTTTCAGCCGTGACTAAACTGTGGAATTCATCACAAATGTAATCTTCGATATAAAAGCAGCCATCTTGTGATCTAGGCCAGAATTTATAGACTGCAGCCCATGGAGAATGAGCCTGTGAAATATAATGCCAGAAATAATGGTGAATCTACCTTTTAGATTAAACACAGTATAAATTAAAATTTTAAACTATTCATGCATCAGAACTGTTATATATTGTTACGTATTTCTGTGTTTTGTTTAGTTTTGTTTTTGTGAATGCAAACACATTTACCATCGAGTAATTGTCTATAAAGGGGTCGTCATACTTGAATTTGTGGTCATTCACAACAATACCTCGCGTGGTCAGCAGGTGTGTCAAGGTTCTGGTGTCGCCATGTGGCATGTGAGACAATTGGGTGCCCATTCACTGCATGTACTTCAACACCGTCACGTTTGGTCGATCGTTATCAATGCTGCAGTTCAGCAATTACTTCAAAGGCATGTTCGCCGACTGACTACTGCAGCTGAGCAGCTGAAGAATCATAAGGTGCGTGAACATCGCCGACTGACTACCTCAACTCTATGAAATGACCAGCGAATTGCCATTTGTGTATTTCCGCGCTACCGTAGCCAAAGGTATTTCTTATGGAACTGACTGTGTTCACGAACTGAGCTAAAGTGTTTGCGTACATATTGAATCGTGAATAATTATATTGAATCCCTATGATTTGTATTTGTATGACAGTATATTGTAATTGATCAACTATTTCAAGGGGCAAGCATTCCAAATAATTGTATATTTCTATTGAGTTAAGATACGATTGTGTTAGCATATTGGGCCACAATCGAGCGTAGTTATATCGTAGTAGATGCGATTTGGTGGAGTTTGAAGCCACTGTTTAAATATGGTACTATTTATTGTAGTGATTATTGTGGTGTTTCTGAAGCCACTGTTTAATTAGTTGAATTGAATTGAATTGAATTGGAGTTCGTTGTTGCGAAATCCAGCTGTAGTCTGGTGTTAGGATAATTTATTCATGGGATGTTCCCAACGCTTAACCTTAGTTTGTAACGAATTGAATACGGCGTGGATGCCGGTGATATTATAAGTATGTTGTATTTGACCAATATTGAAATTATAGTACTTTATTTTATGTAACTTTTCATATACTGTACAATCCAGTGATACCTGGTGAGCACACTATATATATTTATACGAATACAATATTTAGTTCTGATAACAACTTGTTTTTGTGTAGCTTCTTGTTGCGATTCCCTTGTTTGAGTTGGGGTCAACGGAAAGATTCGTTTCTGACCGTCATCCGACTTTCGGTTCAAACTCGGCCGTAACAATATACACTCTTTTATGTCAGATCATGTGTTTCCTAAGGGGATTTAGTGCCTTTATCTATTACATTGTTAAGTATACAATGAGCTGGTTGCACCAGGGAATAAAGAAACAATTGAACCAACATCCATCTTAAATAGATGGTGCCCTCTAGTGGGCTAGTGTGTATTCCTACTGTTTTTATCCCAACATTCTGATAAACTGTGATACCTCATTCCAAAATTACCATTTTTTTTTTAAAAAACAATTCTAACACAACATGTTTTGACATTGACTTCTGCACTTCAGAACGCTTTTGGGAATTCCTGGATAATCAATTTTTTTGGTGACAAGTATAAGCATGATAAGTTTTATTATTTCAGTGTTTGGTATTGATAAGAAATCATTTTTATGGCAAAAATATTGAAACAAATTACTTACAATCTCGCTTTCTTGAAGGACAACTTTCTCTTTTTTCACAGCTAAGGAGTTAAGAACACCTAACTTGATGAAAAATGACTTCCAACTTGAAACATTCTGCTGTGAATTATTTCGCTGTAAGTAGCAACTATCAAGAAGAACCCAATCATATCCTGAGTGAAGAAAAATAAACAAAATAATCAATATTGTGTTGTTTATTTGATATGTTATTTCCAGTTTATTTTTTTATTTCATCGGTCAACAACATTAATCTTTTTCCAACATTCGCTGAAGGTACAAATAGAATAAGTGAATAATATGAGGTTATTTTGAGGATACAGCAAAGTATGCACAAAGACAGTACAGCAGGAGTATCGACCAACACACAGCAGCGGTTGATGTGACCATGTACTGTCTGAGTGCATACTATGCAGTCTTCCCATAATAACCTTATTATTATACATCTTTTCCTCCCACAAATACATCATGGGAATGTCGAAATCCAACTTTTTTGTGTGGGGTCTGTTCTAACCCTTGGGGCAGCCATTTTCGTTTTTTATTATTAGAATTTGCATTTCCAAATATGATAGGATGAAAATACCCACTGCAATACCGAAAAATTACCGTACACTGTAACTTATGGCGTTATGGTGACAGATGTATAATAAAATGTATTTTCAGCTTGAGAAATCCTAACCTGGTAGATCTTTCTGGAAATTTAATTTATTTGCATAATCCGTTGTGAAATGCACAGGTATGGAATGAGGATTCTTCAAACCGTGGTTGGTAATTATTCTGGCAATCGTTTTCAACTCATCTAAGTCACAAACTGAAGGAGTTTTCTCGTGCTCTTCCTTGATGTATATCAAATATTGCATCAACAACTCACGATCTTTTTTCTACAAGACAAAACATAGATTATATTCTGTTGATAACTGGTTTTTAGTTTTGGTCTCATTTTCCAACCACTGTAAAATACTTTATTCTAGCTGGAATAACTTTTTGGGTGTTTTATATGAAATTTATTTTCACTTATTTCTGATGAGTTGAATGTAAAATATAGAAGAAAAGGTATATTCGATAGATTTTATTTTCACTGAATCATTCCTTCAGTGAAAATTATTTCCAAGCGAAAATAAAGTATTTTACTGTACCATAAATGCAAAATGTTGTGGGTATATATAATCCATCATGTATGTAACATGTCTGGCTTAAATGTGCACATATCATTATAAGCTTTGAGGATATAAATAATCTCAGACAATGATGTAGATATGGCATAAACATATGAAATGAATTACTGCGTTGTATGGTCAATGTCTGTGTACCTGCCACTTGTCAGATCCCAAATACAGAAATAATAGTTTGAGGTATATACCAGTATGAACCCTTAATACACATTACACAAACTATTGGAAGTATGGACAATGTACTACTTGAGTAGAATAAAAACGAACGCTAATTTATTCATAAATTTAAAAGTTTTCACTTTTGACCCACATTTCAAGAAAACAACGGTTCACACATTACAATTACGGACACGGTTTGATTCACAGTTTACCGATCAGTTCATAACAATATACAGGTTTGTCTGCAACTTCAGTATGTTTTCCTTATGTTTGTTTTGAGTTAAAAAACTCAAAAAGGCCTATTTTCGAGGAGGGATACACGCATACACTTCAGTGTTTTGAGAAAAAAATAACATTTTCACACAATTCACATACAGAGCTAACTAAAAATATATAACGTATAGGTGTTCAAAGGCCATTTTCACTGTGAAATACAGGTTTGAATATAAGTGCCCACGAACCTGGGTCTCATCCTTAAGTGAATCATAGCATAGTATCCTCAATGTTTGCTTACCTGCCACTTGTCAGATCTCAATACAGGAATAATATGATTGTGAATAACTTCTCTTGGTTTCATTTCACACACTCCCAGTATTTTTAATACACTGTGGACTTGTGAGTTTCCTACTTCATCTAAGCAGGTTAATAATTCCATGGGAACTGTGTTTAAATCGCTCTCCAGGTATTTCAGATGACCTGGTAGACAACAGGTGAATGGAATAATTCAAAATGTGCGACAGATTACAGTGGGCACAAACAAGATTCATCGGTCAACTTGAAACTGGGGAAGTACGAATCAATGTTCAAATAACCCCGTCAACTGTAGGGGGATTGCAAATAATATTCCCATGGATAATTTACAAATTCTTTTGCATAGTCGGATTACAAAACAAAATTGCAATATGAAAACAGACAGCTTACCCATAGTACATACCTAGACTAAAATTAATTAGTCCAAAATCAAGTGGGGTCAGGGTAAGATTGTCACAAAATGTATCTATAAGCCCCTGTTTCGGACCAACAAAAAAACGGCGTTATCCAAGTTTATTGGTAGATATTGATTTGGACTTTGAAAAAAAACTTGATACATACTTTAGAATAGAAACATCCCGCGTTTTTTACAACCCACTACTGAATGTTGCTATTTGTGCGACCAGTCGCTGTGCAGAGAATTTACACTGAATTTTGATAATCACTGATATGTATAATCATGTGAGATGCAACGCAATGATAAAAGCATTACCAGTACAGCCCCAATATGAGTACTTGTGTCCACACAAAAATGAGAACATCTGCCCACCCAGCATTGAACAACTGATTTTCTGTTTATGACGCCAATATTCTGACAGTAATATATAAAACATGCTACACGGTATACAACTTACTTTGCTTTGTGATGAATTGTGACTTGCTTTGTTGTCTACCATCACCAGATACAGGAAAGAAGACGCTGAACTCAGACAAGGACACAAATCCGCCATTAGATAAGGGAATAATTCTGATATTAGTGACTTGTTTAATGATATCATCTTCTGGTATGTTGAATTCACTTTCCATCAAACGGTGTAAACATGCCAGCCATTTAGCAACAAAACCGATAGTTATGTTATTACCTGCACACAACAGATTACATAAACAAAGTGTTAATTAATCCCATTGCAAATTAAGCATAACTATTTTGGGAATAAATTAGTGAAATACTTTATTTTAGCTAGAATTAATTTTTGCTGAAAAGACTTTTTGAGTGTTTTGTATGGAATTTATTTTCACTGATTTTTGACAAATATAAAATATAGAAAAAAAGGAATATACGCTGGATTTTATTTTCACTGAATTATTCTTTCAGCGAAAATTAATTCCAAGCAAAAATATTTTACAGTAAAGCAAATTATGCTAAATTATGGTAAACGACTAAGTCATGGTTATCATTAAAACATAGAAATCCTGCAACACGTCAATTACAATAGCCAATTAATTAACCAAGCATTAAAATAGGTGAACAAAACCATGCTGACACAAACACTGACAACACAGTCCCAGAGTAGTTTTTACAGATAGTGGACCTCAATATTCAGTACAAATCACATGTAGATGTAGAAATCTACTAAAGGACTTCAGTGCATGGCCTTTTTTTAGGTTTAAAATTTGATCAATCAAAGAATGTCTAGGAAATGACTCTAACGACAGAATGGATGCATAGACGAACAGACTTCATCTGAAATGGGGACGAATTAGTACCAGTAAGCAAGAACGAGTCATTTCCCAAGGGGTTGTTCTAAAAATAAAATGACCTTTTTAACTTCTAAATAAAAACATGACTACTATGTATTTTTGTAGAAGATATATAAATATTCCATCAATAAAAACTATCGATATATCTTAAAATATACAGTAAAAAAATACTCTGATCACTTGTTTTTACCTCAATATCAACATGGCGAAATAAAAAAAGTACCGGTACACAGAGACCGTGACATAAAGCTGCTTTGCGCTTGGTATATTAGCTGCCAAAGTAAGGTGAGCAAAAAATAAAAATAAAAAAGTTTACCTTCAATGCTGGCACTAATGGCTTTACCAATGTCTATGAGATGATTAATAGACAGTGTCTGTACTCCAAGCATGTTGATTAATGGCATACTAATTGATGACAGTATCTTTGGATGTACATAGTAACGATTCAAGTGATGATGCAATAGATCAGACGTGATAACTTCTCTTAATAAGGGATCTCTGGTTACTGCCAGTTCTGATGGTAATTTCCAAGCATACAAATCTGAGGAAACAAAAGTCTGTGTTCAAGTATGCTATAATAACCGCGGTGTTGGATCATTATTCTTCGGAAAAAAAAACCAAGGCAATTAATTGTACCAACTTTTGCTACGATTGGCTAGAGCAATAACTTGCCTGGCACAAACTCTTCAATTTGCCGAAGACACAAGCTGATCGCATGATAAAAACATGGTTATATTGGTTGACACATTAAATAGTATGATAAAAACAGTTTATGGGCCAATAAAATGACAGATAAGAACACAGCCTTTGGCCACTGTAAATGGCAGAAAAATTTGGTGAAAGTCAATAAAAATCAGTGACTTTCACAATTTTGTAGCAGTAGGAATTTCCTTGGGGTTCTACAGTCCATGTCAGTGACTTTCACAAAATTTTGTTAGCAGTAGAAATTTCTTTCGGTCCTACAACTCATGTCAGTAAGATTTTTTTTGGGTCCTTCAACCCATGTCAAATCCTGACATGCAATCCTGAAATCACAAAATTTCAAGCTATGAAAATCAAATTGTTTACAGTAAATCAATACCTTCATCTGTTGATACATCAGCTGGTAGACAAGGAGAGGCTTTCAGCTGTTGTATAATCTGTTTAGCAACTGGTTTGAAAAATCCTAAGATTTCATCTTCTAGAGGAACATACTGCAAAAATTTACAAATTGCTTCCAGTTCAGAAAATTCAGGACGGTTCTAGGTAGTAAATAAAAATACATTATTTTTTAATGGTAAGTACTTGTATAGAGAAACAGAGTAATATGCGAGTTCATTAAATTACTGATCACCATGTTAAAGC